GAGGGGCGTGGTTGGGAGGAACGGCCCCCCCGATCTGAACCCGAGCGGTGTTTTGTTATTGGACTTCTGTGCCCGTCATGGATTGTCCATAACAAACACCATGTTCAARCATAAGGGTGTCCATATGTGCTCTTGGCAGCAGGACACCCTAGGCCGCAGTTCAATGATTGACTTTGTTGTTGTTTTATCTGATCTGCGGCCGCATGTTCTGGACACTCAGGTGAAGAGAGGGGTGGAGCTGTCAACTGACCACTACCTGGTGGTGAGTTGGCTCCATTGGTGGGGTAGGATGCCGGTCAGACCTGGCAGACCCAAACGTATAGTGAGGGTCTGCTGGGAATGTCTGTCAGAGTCTCCCGTCAGACGGAGCTTCAACTCACACCTCCAGGGGAACTTCGAACAGGGGGACATTGAGTCTGAGTGGGCCATGTTCCGTACCTCCATTGTCGAGGCGGCTCACCTGAGCTGTGGCCGTAAGGTTGTTAGTGCCTGTCATGGCGGCAACCCTCAAACTCGCTGGTGGACGCTGGGGGTGAGGGATGCTGTCAGGCTGAAGAAGGAGTCCTATCGGGTCTTTTTGGCCTTTGAGACTCCGGAAGAAGCTGATGGGTATCAGCAGTCCAAGCGGATTGCGGCTCAGGTGGTCACTGAGGCAAAAACTTGGGCGTGGGTGGAGTTCGGAGAGGCCATGGAAAAATACTTCTGTACGGCTTCGAGGCGATTCTGGTCCATCATCCGACGTCTCGGGTGGGGGAACTGTTTGTCACCAACACTGTTTATGGTGGAGATGGTGCGCTGCTGACCTTAACTTGGGGCGTTGTGGGTTGGTGGGCTGAATACTTCGAGGACCTCCTCAATCCCACCAACACGTCTTCCCATGAGGAAGCAAAACCTGAGGACCCTGTGTTGGACTCAGCAATCTCTGGTGCTGAGGTCACTGAGGTGGTTAAAAAGCCCCTCGGTGGCAGGGCGCCAGGGGTGGATGAGAGTCGCCCGGAGTTCCTTAAGGCTCTGGATGTTGTGGGGTTGTGTTGGTTGACATGACTCTACAACATCGCGTGGACATCGGGGGCAGTTCCTCTGGATTGGCAGACCGGGGTGGTGGTTCCCCTATTTGAAAAGGGAGACCGCAGAGTGTGTTCCAACTATAGGGGGATCACACTTCTGAGCCTCCCTGGTTAGGTCTATTCAGGGGTCCTGGAGAGGAGGGTCCGTCGGATAGTCAAATCTTGGATTCAGGAACAGCAGTGTAGTTTTCGTTCTGGTCGTGGAACAGCGGACCAGCTCTACAGCCTCAGCAGGGTCCTGGAGGGTGCATGGGAGTTTGCTCAACCAGTCTACAGTACATATGTTTTGTGGATTTGGAAAAGGTATTCGACCGTGTCCCTCGGGGACTCCTGTGGGGGGTTCTCCGGGAGTGTGGGGTACCAGGCCTGTTGATACGGGCTGTTAGGTCCCTGTACGACTGGTGCCAGAGCTTGGTCCACATTGCCGGTAGTAAGTCAGACTCGTTTCCAGTTAGAGTTGGACTCCGCCAAGATTGCCCTTTGTCACTGATTCTGTTCATAACTTTTATGGACAGAATTTCTAGGTGTAGCCAAGGTGTTGAGGGGATCCTTTTTGGTGACCTTAGGATCGCATCTCTGCTTTTTGTGGATGATGTGGTCCTACTGGCTTCATCAGATCGTGATCTCCAGCTCTCACTGGAGCGATTCACAGCCGAGTGTGAAGCAGCCGGGATGAGGATCAGTGCCTCCAAATCTGAGACCATGGTCTTGAGCCGGAAACCGGTAGGGTGCCTTCTCCGGGTCGGGGAGGAGGTCCAGCCCCAAGTGGAGGAGTTTAAGTATCTCGGGATCTTGTTCACGAATGAGGGAAGAATGGAGCGGGAGATCAACAGGTGGATTGGTGCTGCGTCTGCAGTGATGCGGGCGCTGTACCGGTCTGTCGTGGTGAAGAGAGAGCTGAGCCAGAAGGCTAAGCTCTCGGTTTACCAGTCGGTCTACGTTCCTACCCTCATCTATGGTCACGAGCTTTGAGTAGTGACCGAAAGAACAAGATCGCGGATACAAGTGACCGAAATGAGTTTCCTCCGCAGGGTGTCTGGGCTCTCCCTTAGACATAGGGTGAGAAGCTCAGTTATCCGGGAGGGACTCCGAGTAGAGCCGCTGCTCCTCCACGTCGAGAGGAGCCAGTTGAGGTGGTTCATCTGGTTAGGATGTCTCCTGGACGCCTCCCTGGTGAGGTGTTCTGGGCATGTCCCACTGGGAGCAGGCCCAGAGGAAGACCCAGGACATGCTGGAGGTATTATGTCTCTCGGCTGGCCTGGGAACAACTTGGGATTCCCCCAGATGAGCTGGCCCAAGTGGCTGGGGAGAGGGAAGTGTGGGTCTCTTTGCTTAGGCTGCTGTCCCCGCGACCTGACCCCGGATAAGCGGAAGAAAATGGACGGACGGACAAAGGATGCAGTCAGACTGTGTACAATTTTAAAAAATAAATAAATAAATCAAGTCCATGTTATCCTCCTAAGAGGATGACCCACAATAAAGAAACATTCTGACTTCTGATCAACAAAAATCTGCAGGTTCATTTTAATATGCAGCTGTGCTTTGAGTAGCAGAGCTGCAAGAGCTAAAAGAACATTTGTTGTGTATCTTGAGCTTGTTTTAGTGCAGCCTGTCATTATTAATGTTGAGGATCTTCTGAAATGTGTTCATTTAATCTAAGGAAAAATATCAAAACATTTGCTAGAGGAAAATGAAAACACTTATCTGAATTATTATTTATTTATTTATTTATTTTTGCACAATCGCAATTCTGAACAGGATGTCAGTGCGTCTTAAGTTATTCCACCATTAACACACTGAATTCAAGGTATGTTGCATAAACAACAAATAGTTAAAGGCTAGAACCATGTTATGCTATTAGAGTCCTCACAACTGCAGCAGCAGATTCAAGTACTTGTGAAACAGTTAGCCCATAAGACAAAAAGGGGGTGTATAATCCCCCTCTAAAGTGGCAGCATGTTCTTCTGAGAGACAGATTTGTGGGCTGAAACCCTCTGTTGCAGAAGCAGCTTTACACAGAAGCTGATGACATATTGATCTGTTGGCTCGGAGGAAGAAATCACAACATGGCCTTCAACTACAGAATATCACTGTGAATGCAAACAACTCTCAGCTGGTGAAAAATAAAACAACCTACTCCCTATAATCTGAAGTTTAACTTTTCAGGATTAGGACAGCTGAAGCTCAATCTGAGTTCAAGATTATTGAATAAAAACACATAAATGACAACACTTTTAAAAATATTAAAAAATATAACCCTACTAAACACAAATATAGAGAACACAACCCAATCTGCAGAAAAACACTGCAATGACGACAGCCTCTACTGCCTTGCCTCTTGGCTTGGAAATAAACTTAAATCTGTGTGCCAGTGCCTCACCTAGTGGTCATCAAGAACAACTACAAGTATGTGAGGGCAAACAATATAATTTCACTAAAGTTTATGGTAGTTTGTGTTTTTAATATTGTTTTTTAAGTTATGTGACAGGCTCAGTTAACAGAAGTTTTATAAGTAAGTAAGTAAGTAAGTAAGTAAGTAAGTAAGTAAGTAAACTTTATTTCTATAGCACCTTTCACAGACACAAACATCACAAAGTGCTTCAGAGAAAGCAAAAATAATTAAAAAAAATAATTAAAAACAATAAAACAGATCACAGATATAAAAACAACAATTAAAACACAATAAAAAGCATTTAACTAAAAGCCTATCTGAATAAAAATGTCTTAAGATGTTTCTTAAAAGAGTCAGTAGAATCTGAGCAGCGAAGGGACAGAGGGAGGGCGTTCCAGAGCCTCGGGGCCACCACCTGAAAAGCTTTGTCTCCACGGGTTTTATAATGGGTTCGAGGGACCATCAGCAGCATTATAACAAATCTTACACTATTTTTCCTTATTTTCACATTATGTCTGCCATTTAAATTTATTTCAACAACTCTAATTCATTACACCAATGGCATTGGGCAATCAGCACAAAATATCATTTGTAATCACGTCACCAACAAATACAATAATAAAAAAAAGGATCTGCAAGAACAGAACTGCATAATATACCACATTTTAAAAATCAGTATAACTAATAGGGCCATGTTTGTTCCACACARTAAGGAACTACACAATGTGAATCATCTTGAAAACAGCAAACTAAGTAGAAACAGAAAAGAATATCACTTGTACTATTCTGATCAGTAATAAGCATGTGTAACAAGCATCTTAATAGTCTACATTTTATAAAAACTGAACTTAATGAATTTTGCTTACTATTTGTTGACAAAAAGCGTAGAGTATCTCCGCCCACAGGACAAAACCTGCTGCAGATACCCCTTACTCGAATATCTCGTCTCCTCTTGTTCACGTTGACTCTGTACATGAAATATATAGCGTTTGCGCCTGTCGGCCACCGTTTTTTTTGCAGTGAACAAAATATCAACATGTGCATTTTTACACAATTTAGGTCCAATTTTTTGTACAAAATATGTTTTTATTTTTACTTTGACACATCATAACCCGTCATATCTACCTGTAATAGAAGCAATGCTCAACAAATATGACCTTAAAAGTTCCCAAGCTAATGTTAGCATAAAAGCTAACGTTGGCATAAAAGCTAACCTTAGTGTTAGATTACGAAAAAAGAGGGAGGGGAATCAACTTTTAGTTAAAACATTGTGAAAGCATGTATTAATAAATGCAATTTAAATGTTCTGCCACCTTCCCTGATCTTCAACGTATTTCAGACTGATGCATTTAGAAACATGCTGTAGGATAACAAAACTTTACTTACGCGTAGTTATAAACGTGACCACAARGGGCCAGTGTTGTCGGATGCAACCAACAGCGAAGAAGATGCATGCACGCATGCGCAGTTTGTCTTAGGTAGCTTTACTAACGCCGGGTAWCCGAATTTGTGCAGGTAATTTAATAGCGATGATGTCTTGTGAATTATTGAAGTAGATTTGTTTGTTATACTGATGGTAATGTTGTGTTTAAACTGTTTTACTGTATGTGTGTCTGTTCACAGTGGATTCTTTGTTATGGAGCGATGCTGTAGGTAGGAAGAAAGAATGAAAACGCTTTAGTTAACTCAGCTGCTGCTAGCGAGTTTTAATTTGTTTTTGCTTGAATCTTGTCTTACAAGAATAACTAAACGCATATTGTTTAAGTTTAAGGTAAAAGGAGAGCGTTTGGTATGAATGACGCAGTTTCAGTTCGCTGATAATGCCCGTGTGTTTCTGACTCGGGCGAAGAGAGCACCTCGCCAGACATCATTAAGAAATTAAGCAATTTAAGAAAGTCCTGCTGATCTTAAGAGGGTCAAACAAATTGTAATTTAAAAAAAAGTATATATTTTTAACTATTTGGTTTTAAATTCGAAGTTAAATGTCAAGTTTTAAACTACTTAAGGGCATATTTTAAACTCTGTCAGCAGGTCGCTTGTGCTRTTTTGACTGCTTTCCATCTCTTACAAAGCAGCTATTATTTTTTAGGGTAATTTATTTATTGCTTGCTCCATGAATGCACGCATTGCTATCCATGTCCAAGTGTCAGATTCTCTCAAGTAAACAAAATAACAATTCCTCTCTTGCTGAAAATGCACGCTCTTATGTCCTTATTTCTCATGTTTCGTTTAAAGTGTCGGCAGGGATGGTCCTGATCCTTGCTCCTCGCCTCCACCTGCCTCACCTCCTCCTCCTCCCAGCCGCCTCCCTTCCCCTCACCATCCAGCGTCACCCTCCTCTTCCCCACCATCCCTGACTTCTCCCCCTCTTCCTCCTCGCTGCCACCGGCTGGGCTGTGCAGGAGCCATGGTGGATGTGGGTAAATGGCCCCTGTTCACGGTGCTGAACAGCGAGGAGCAAGCTGCGATCCGGCAGGCCTGCGTCTTTGGAACGTCGGCCAACGAAGCCGTTTATATCACTCATGCAAACGAGGTGAGCTGCACGTGTTTGTAACTGCAGGCGCATCATTCTGCAAYCTCTGTTTACTGCTGAARTTTTGATGCCTCGGTGTTTGTGTGTGTTGATGTGTGCACTATTATCTGTCAGATGTTTGCGTTTGGCTTGAACTGCAGTGGCTGCCTCGGAACAGGAGACAGCGTGAGCACGATTGTGCCGAAGAAACTGGACTTCCTGAGAAGAAAGAAGGTGGTCAGTTTCAGCTAYGGCAGCGGACCCCACGTCCTGTTAGCTACAGAAGGCAGGTTATTCCTCTACGCTATAAATGTGTGCAGTCCCTGTTTTTATCCTTCAGTTTATTTAAAGTTTGTGCCTTTTAAATCATGTGGAAAAAAWTTTTTTTACAACTGATATCCCTGCATACACAACTTCTTTTATGTCAAATTTTAAAAGACACTTCATGACTTATATATATATATAAAACCATGAATTTACGATGCTGTTTTGACCACATGTCCTGAGTGATTGCATCACAAGTTAACAGTGATCTGATCATTCCTAATGGAGAACAAACTGTTTAAACTCTCGTCTTGTTGCAGATGGTCACCTGTTTGCCTGGGGCCACAATGGTTACAGCCAACTGGGGAATGGCTCGACTAACTCCGGTCTCTCCCCGGTGTCGATCACGACCAACCTGCAGAACATGAAGGTGACTGAGGTGGCCTGTGGCTCGCATCATTCCCTAGCTCTCACCCAGGAAGGTGATGTAAGTATTTTTTCTTTAATTTTGCCTTTTTGTTTTGTGTTCTAGAAACTATAATAGTAGCAGGGTGTCTGCAGGTTGTAAAAGATAGTAAATGAAATTGGCAAAAATGAAGGCCGTTTAAAAGTAATAAATGTCATCTGATGAGGTATTTGTTTTTTATACAACTATCCAGCTATATGTCTCCTAAAAATCCTTTCTCCCTATGACAATAAATCACATTTTGTCTTGGGTTATGGTTAAATATAGCCTGGCCCTTGCCTTCCTACGCAGCTCCGCTCAATTCTAGTTTCTCTGCTCCGTCTGGGACTTCTCCCATAGACAAGGATTTCRCTGGCAGATTTTTAGCTGAACCAATCAGAGAACAGAAGGCGGAGTTTTGAACAACGTTGATTTTCTGCGCAGTGTCTGCTAGTTATTTTAGCATTCAGCAGTGGAGGAAGTGAATGAAGCCAGTYTGTGTTGATAAGGCTTCCAAAGTAAATTAAAATTGTCTGACAAAGCAGCAGCTCTCATTTACAGTTGTCTCGATCGGCTCGGTATATTTCTCCTCTCAGTAGGGTTGTTTACAGCACACGCGATTTCCGGTTAGCTTCTTAGCTTAGCCTCCTTCACAGCGACACACACACACACACACACATATATATACACACACACACACACACACACACACACACACACACACACACACACACGCTTCAGCAGAGGCCACGCCTCCTGCAAGAATCGCTTCTCAATATCAGCGAGTCCAGACCTACGTACAAAGCAAAGTGAAGGACAGGGTCTGGTTTTTACCAGGCTAGGTTAAATAGCAAAATTGTATTAAGGTCTTTCTTTATTGAGGCAAATAAGTAACTGTAATAATACACTTATTACATGAGTTAAGGAAGAAAATGGCACTAATCTATCACTTTATAATGAGTTACCCCCCAACTGAAGTTCGAGGTTGCTGCTACATTTGCAACTTGAAGTTGTTTTGCTATTAAAAACCTATTGTGAGGGTATTAATAAAGGTTTTTAAGTTAACTGAAGAATTTCTGTTTATATCTTGAATTATCTGTGAACTGCAGCTCTTGCAAAACAAAAACCAAACAAACAAAGCCAAAGTTTATGTTAGAGCTGATTGAATCCTCTCATTTGAACTGACTTGTCAGGTTTTTGCGTGGGGGTATAACAACTGTGGCCAAGTGGGCTCAGGCTCCACAGCCAACCAGCCGTACCCCAGGAAGGTGACCGGCTGCCTGCAGGGGAAGACTGGGGTGGGCATCACGTGTGGACAGACCTCCTCCATCGCTCTGGTGGACAACGGCGAGGTAAAGCTTTTCTTTTTATCTCATTCATGCAGGAATCTGTAGTTTGTCCTCGTATTCAAGCCGTCTCATGTTTGTTTAGGTGTATGGCTGGGGCTACAATGGGAATGGGCAGCTGGGTATTGGGAGTAATGGAAACCAGCTGTCTCCTTGCCGCCTTGCTGCACTCCAAGGACTCTGCATTCAGCAGGTGAGACACGAAACAACCTGAATATGTTTCTTATCCATCAGGACATTATTTAGGCTTTTTATYCCAGCAGTTAGTCTGCAAAGAAGTGCGACGTGATCCTTTGTTTTTGGTGCAGGTTGTGGCAGGTTACGGACACTGCCTGGCGCTCACAGATGAAGGGCTGCTGTAYGCCTGGGGAGCCAACACTTACGGCCAACTGGGAACCGGCAACAAGACGAACCACCTCAGTCCTGTGCAGATCATGGCTGACAGAGAGAGGTACGGTGAAGAAGAAAGGCTGCTCYTCTGTCCTGTTAAGATTTCCTGCTTCTTGTCTTTGTTTCTGCCCTCCTCCTGTTTACCTTCCACTCATACTTGTGCGCCATAAACCCTGATTATATAAGCCAGAGAAAAGTCAGACATGTTTCTGTGCACTCCTGGAGGCAAAGAAACCAAACCCCGAAGCTACATTAACTCCTCTGACTCTGCAGGGTTGTGGAAGTCGCAGCCTGCCACTCGACGCACACGTCAGCAGCTAAGACTCAAAGTGGAAAGGTACATGTTCACTTTATATTTCACTGTGTTTGATCATTTGTGTTGTTAACCTGGATGTTCATTTGTCAGGTGTACATGTGGGGTCAGTGTCGGGGCCAGCCCATCGCCCTGCCCCACCTGACSCACTTCACCAACACCGACGACGTCTTCGCCTGCTTCGCCACCCCGTSCGTGATGTGGCGCCTCATGTCCATGGGTGAGGTTTTGTTTTGATCGATTTATTTATTATTTTATTTTTTTGTTTGTTCTTGTCTGAGCCGGCTGAGTATTTAAGTGTCTTGTTTGATTCCAGAGCACGACGACTTCCTGACGGTGTCCGAGGCTCTCAGGAAGGAGTTCGACAGTCCCGAAACGGCCGACTTGAAGTTCAGCGTTGATGGCAAATGCATTCACGTTCACAAAGCGGTGCTGAAAATTAGGTGTGTTTTTATTTTTCTTTATATGTTTGTGGTGTCGAATTTTAAGCCGCTGTGTAAGAATGTCTTGTTTTGTTTGTTGTCCCATGGGAAGAACAAAACAAAAACCTTACATAGTGTGTAAATTTAAAGGTGCGAGCACTTCCGCTCCATGTTTCGCTCCCAGTGGACCGAGGACCAGCAGGACGTGATCGAGATCGGCCAGTTCTCATACCCGGTCTACAGATCCTTCCTGCAGTTCCTCTACACCGACGCTGTCGACCTGCCGCCTGAGTACGCCATTGGTAAGCTCGTTCATTTGCTCACAGGGCTCCTAGTTTGTACCATACCAACTTTATTTATAAAGCACTTAAACAACCATAGGACCAAAGTGCTGCACAGTCACAGTCAATAAACACACAACAGTCACAGTACATAATAAAAGCCAAATCCAAAAATTAAAACTATACAATAAAACAAACACATAAAACTAATTAAAGGGGTCCACGATTAGTTGTAACATTAGACTTTATTTGATAAACATATATTTTAACTGTAAAATAAAGACTAAAAATACTGATGGCTGTTTAGTTTTGTAAATTTTTTAAAATATATTTTAACATGGACGGAGCCATTTTATTTACACACAAAGCATTCTGGGTAAATGATGACGTGGATAGGTCCTCGGTGCGAGGCTGCTAGCGAGCTATATCCACCCTGAAGGTTAATCTTGGACAATATCTGATGATCGACTCTTTTAAATGAAACCAGAGAGCGTTGACAGAGAGGAGAAGGTAGAAATGACTCAGCCTGTAACTGAAAATATGGATGGAGGACAACAGAGTAGCCTGTTAGCCCTCACGCTATATTTCYTTATATGTATTAGCTCGGTGCTAGCGCGACAAGCTAAACTGAGGTCCTCCATCTATATTTTCAGTTACAGACTGAGTCATTTTTGCGTTCCCGTCTCTTGTCAAGTGGATGGAGGACCTCAGTGACGAGAGGAGAATGTGTAGCGCTGAGCTAATACATATATATGATAGCATCAGGGCTAACATTAAAGCTAACAGGCTAAGCTGAGTTTCTTCTTCCATGAAGCAGCTCTGTTGTCCTCCATCTATACTGTATTTTCAGTTGCAGACTGAGTCATTTCTACCTTCTCCTCTCTGTCAACGCTCTCTGGTTTCATTTAAAAGAGTCTATCATCAGATATTGTCCAAGATTAACCTTCAGGGTGGATATAGCTCCCTAGCAGCCTTGCACCGACCTAGTTGATGTCATCAATTTCTCAGAATGCTTTGCGTGTAAATAAAATGGCCCCGTCCATGTAATATATTTTTCAACTTTTAGTTTAAAAATGATAAAAACTGAACATCCTACAGTATTTTTAGTCTTTATTTTACAGTTAAAGTATACGTTTATCATATAAAGTCTAACGTTACAACTAATCAGGGATCCCTTTAAAATAATCTCAAAACAAACTAAAAGTCAACATCTCAGATGGAGCMAAAAGCCAAAGAKAAGAGATGGGTAAGTAGCRTTTTAAAAGCCGACAGGGACGTGGCCCGTCTGATGCCCAGAGGCAGGTTGTTCCACAGTTTAGGAGCAGCAGTGCACAACGCAYGATCCCCTCTAAACTTACGTTTAATTTTTGGGATTCTCAGGTGCAGCTGGTCAGAGTTTGTGTGTTTTTGATGTGCTTGTTTTGTTTGTCGGCTGCAGGCTTGTTGGATCTGGCCACGTCTTACTGTGAGAACCGCCTGAAGCGTCTGTGTCAGCAGCTCATCAAGAAGGGAATCACCGTGGAGAACGCCTTCACCCTGCTGTCTGCAGCCATACGATACGACGCAGAGGTGCTCACCTTCACATTATTTATTTATTTGTTTGTTTATTTATTTATTTATTTACTTTTAATCACTCTGTCTGAGCCTGGTCGTTGGTGCGTTTGGTGTTGGAGCCAAAAGGAGTGTTTTTTTGTTGCATTTCAGAAGCTAAATTTGGTTTAAAGGACTGATCAGCTGCTGGAACGAAGGGTTACGGTTCCATCTAGTGTTCATGCAGCAAACTGCACCTACATTATTACATCATGTTTTGTTTTTTCTGCAGGATCTTGAGGAGTTCTGCTTTAGGTTCTGCGTGAACCACCTGACTCAGGTGACCCAGACGGAGGCTTTCTGGCAGGTAGACGGAGCTATGCTGAAGGAGTTCATCAGCAGAGCCAGCCGCTGCGGCGCCTTCAAGAACTGAGTGGGCCTTTTATTACTTTTATTTTTTAAAGCAACTGAATGTTCTCACCAAAGTGATGCAGCCCTATTTGTTGAGGTGTTTTATATATTTCCTGAGGCTCCTGGCTGAAGTGAAGCTGTTATCTATGGATTTAAATTCAGCACTTTGGCCACTTCCTGAGGAGTCGRCACTCATTGCACCTTTTTTTAATGTCCGATGAATATTTTGTTTTCTTGGCCAGTTCTTACAGTCCTGTTTTACTTCCCTGCATAGTGCAGATGAGTGCAGTGTCTTTGTTTTTAAACTGTTTTTGATTAAAGTATTTTGGATTACAGGAGTAAAGTGTGGTTAAATAATATGGCACTGAAAGTTAACATTTTGGGCACTGTTAAATCATTTTCAACTATTTTATTCTTTTTTTCGCAAATGTAAATATTTATTTGGTATTTTGTAAATGTTCGTGCTTTAATTATAACTTATTATTATAGTTATTGTTAATTTTCTGTTGTCACATTATTTTAGTTTTAATTGTCTGGGCAAATGCACAGTTACAAAAGCTGGAACGATTCAAGGATTTGTTTTTCCATCATGTTTAGCATTTTCTGTATGTTTATTGCAGACTCAGTGAAAAACTAGTTCAAAACTGTAAGCTTCAGCAGAATGAACACGATAGGTTAGATTTGGGTCCGTTCATGACTCATGATGACCAAAGACTTTTTCGGAAATCTTTTTTCTTCTTTCGAAGAGGTGTGGCTGGGATTTTTTTTTTTCTTTGATCAAGTCAGGATGCAGGATGACTGGTGAGATAACTTTCTGTTCTTCTCTTAAGTTTCTTTTTCCTCTGTGCTCCTAAATGCTGAATGAACCTTTGATTTAGTTGGATTAAAGTTTGAACCTCATGCTTGTGATTAAAGCCCAGGGTCATTTAGGCTGGACAGCCCAATGCAGTGAAGGGGTTTAAGGAAAATTAGTTTACTTGTTTTATTCCTAAACGGACATTTTAAAAATTATGGTTTTCTGAGAGAAATGTATTTTTATGCTTTTGAAACGTGTTTGCTCACCTTTTTTTCAACTTAAACACTGAAGGTTTAAAGATTGGAATTGCTGTTGCATTATTTTTCTCTTTTTTATA